GGACCTTTTCGGACAGGATAGACAGCAAACCGTGTCGGATTGGGCCCATGCCACTGGGAGAACTCTGTCGCTGTCATCGAGGGAGAGTGTGGCGGCAGACTGGACGGAGAAGGAGGTATAGAACGTTTTTCACACGATGGCAAGGAACAAGGCCCCGGGGAGAGATGGACTGCCGAAGGAGCTTTTCGAGGAGCACTGGGATGTCCTGGGCAAGCACTTCATGAAGCTAGTGGGAGACTTCACCGACTCGGCCACACTTCCTGCAAGCACAAAAGATTCGGTTACCATCTTGCTGCATAAGAAGGGAGGTCGAGATCAAATCGAGAACTACCGCCCCATTACGCTACTAAGCTTCACTTACAAGGTGTTGGCGAGGGTGTGTTGCACGAGGATCCGGTCACTTTGACGAATTTATTTCTCAATTAAAGGCAAATCCGTTCGGTTGGATTGCGCGCGCTGGTCTTAGCTACCACCTTGAAGTTGAATCACGTCAAAGGTGGTCTAGAGAATGAGAACGACTTGAAAACGTATAGCTGCTGCTTTCACTAGAATGGATGGAGGAAAAACAAACATTTGGCATAGAGTAATATGAGTTGGGGGGTTCAAAAGAACCTTGTGAGGGAAGGCTCTCCAAATGCTTGGGAAGGATGGTGGGAACCTTCCTAGCATAAAAAATGCAACCCTCATGATGAGGTCCTTGAGGTGTCACATGCAAAATCCAATCCAATTGGATTTTGCCTAGGTGTTGCAACATTTGCAATCCATGCTAGAAACTTCTAGCCACCTCAATCCAATAGTCAAAGTTGCCTTCCTAACCATCCAACCAAAGATCCCTTTATAACCATGACCCAATAATCACCCAATTTACGTCATATCCCAAATTATGACAGAATTTCCATATCTTGGAAATCTTGTAACTTGGGCGATCTTGGTCGGAATAAGGCGATCTTGGTATCGTTGGAAAGCTCTGGATTTCTCCTGCGCGATCAGGCATTTAGAATTGGAGAAAGAACAGAGGTGATAAAATCCAACAGCCATGCATAATGATTTATGCTCATGCAAATGACGCAAGCATAAATTGCACGAGCACACGGCGGGATGTTAGGATGACATGCACTCATACTGACGTGCATACAACAGGGTGGTGGCGGACAGGATGAAAAAGGTTCTGCACAAAGTGATGTATCTGAAGCAATACGGTTTCCTGCCGGGCCGAAGGCTGTCCGACGCAGTAGGGCTGGTCGCGGATGTGATAGAAACAGCAAAAAACAAAGACGCAGACTGGTATTTCCTGCTGTTCGACTTCAAGAAGGCCTTTGACTCGGTCTCGAGGAGCTACTTGTTTACGGCGTTGGAGAAGATGGGCTTTCCCAGAAGACTTGTGAGCTCGATCCAGGGTCTGCACGAAGGCACGCACACGAGGTTGTTAGTCAATGGCTGGATAGGGGAGGCAGTGGAGGTGGAGTTTGGGGTAAGGCAAGGATGTCCCCTCACTCCTTACCTCTTTCTGTGCACAGCCGCTGGTGCAGGAAACCGCGAACCGAAAGCTGGGGCTTACAAGGGGTGATCAGCGGCTGGCATACCTGGGGTATGCCGATCAAACGCCGCTTTTACTGCAAGGAGAGGAGCAGATCGCGGAGCAGAGCAGCTATTAGACGATTTTGGGTTTGGCTATCAGCAAAACAAAGTCGGCGGTCCTACCTCTGGGAAAGAACCAGAACAAGCAGGCTTGCAAGGCCGATGGCTTCAAATGGGTGAAGGCGGGTGATACTGAATGGTCGCTGGGAGCATGGATGACGCCATCTGGCTGCTGTGCGCCGGCCTGGGAAAAGGCTTTTGCACGCATAACGGAGAAGCTGAGACAGTGGGAGGCACAGCAATTGACGAGCGGAGCGAGAGCTGCGGTGATCAAATGCTATATCTCACCGATAATTTTCTTCCAGGCGCAGGTGTATCCTCATCCGGTGAATATCCGGGGAAGGAGTTTTAAGCTTACACACCATTTCGTGTTAGGAAACCGGGCCTCCACGGATAAGGGTTTCATTTTGTGGAGCAAAGAGCTGTTGTTCATGGCAAGGGAGGACGAGGGTGTCGAAGTTAAGGATTGAGAAATCGCCCTTACCTGCCTAACGGTGAGACGCATCGGTCTGCTCCTCACCGACACGAATGAGCTGAAACGAGACATCATGCTCAAGGCAGCATCCCTGCCGCTGGGGTTGGATACCTTCGCCTCCCATGTCAAGCTCCTGAAGTGCTGGCGTGAGAAGAGTGAGAGATGGAAGTTAGCCTGCGGAAACTTCGTGCAATCGCCGCTGGCTGACACTCCATCAGAACTATCACGGGAGGAGGCAGAGAGGGAGAGACTGGTTTTCAACCGCCATGTCTTGCTGAAGGGCACAACTCCGGTAGGGGGACAGAAAGCAGTGACAAAGCTCTAAGAAGTTCGGCTGGGGGACCTGCTGTGCCCGGACGGCACGGTGGGCAGGCGTACTAAGGAGGTGAAAACACTGTCAAAGGAGTTGGGTGGTTCCAAGCAGGCAAAACTGGCATTACAGGCTTGAGAGGCATTGCCGCAGAATTGGAAGACGCTACTCCTGTCTCCTGAGCAACTGCCATTACCTCGCCCACCTACGCGTGTGCCTCTCCAGAGAACTCCAGTGTTTTGGTAGCGGGCAGTTAACGTTGCTGCGGGAGCTGAAGTGGGCCTGGCAACGGCAGAAACATCAGTCCGCCACGAAGGAACTTTGGGCGGGCAGATGGGCAGGCACGATCGACTGGAAAAATACCATCAGGATTAGGGACTCTTTGGTGACGCCTAATAAGCCACGCGATGTGCTACTTTGTATACACAGCCTCAATCCGCAGGTGGGAGAAGGGCTCTTGTTCCTAAGTGGAAAATCAGTCTGTCCATATTGTGGGGAGTTCGAGACTTTGGAACACTGCCTGTTCACCTGCCCGAGGATCCAGCTGGTTGTGGTGGCAGTCAAGCGGGCCATGAACATGATAAATCCATCGAGGCAATTGGTGGACCTGGGTGGCTTGCTGTTCGGGAAGGCAGCATCCACCTCAGCATTTTCGGAAGCATCACTAGCCGACATTGCAGTAGATCGCATCTGGGCAGAGCGGTGTGACTGTGTGTTTCGGGGGAAGAGAGTTCTGGCTCGGCGTGTCCTCAGGCGCATTGAAGCAGCTTGTTGGCTGCATGTGAAGGTGTACACCCGGGCCATGGGGAGAAAACTTGACAAGGGCAGCGGTTTGAAACGACATGGGAAGGCCTATGCGCTGGCAGAGAGGGAGGACGGGTTACACAGCCGCATCAGATGTACAGCGGTAGGGGTGCAAGTGGACTCGTAGTTTCGGCGCGCTATGGAACTTGGCAAGGAGGACTTTGCATCCGCCTTAGAAGCGGACTCTGAGGCCGGTTCAATGCTACGGCCTCTCATGCTCAGTTACGACTGACATATGTTGCTCATACGCTTGTACCGCCGGTGTATAGTGAACATATTGCAAAAAAAAAAAAAACTTACCGATATGGTTGGTACTAAGAGTGATTGTGTTAAATACCCATATGGTTGGTACTAAGAGTAAGTGCATTACTTACCCATGGTGGTTGGTAATAAAAGTAAGTACGTTACCTACCCGTGTTGTTGGTACTAAGAGTAAGTGCGTTACTTACCGATGTCGTCGGTGTTGGGTGCAAATTCATATTGCACGACATCCTGCCGTCTGTTTGTACGAGTATGCGTGTGTGAATGCATTTGGGTGTGAATGGAATGCTCGTGTGTTTGTTTGCTTTCGCAATTTTTGCTTGATGCATTTGCAGGTACTCGCGCAATGTGCGTTTCGGCACAACATTGTACGCGCTATGAAGAGTGCAAGCAGAAAGGACGAGCTCGCAAAGGAACCCAAGATGGAAGCTTTGCGGTTTGGTTCAATTGATTGCGCAGATTCAGTTCTATCCAACTCGAATTTGTACTGTTTTGCTTGGTTGACTATAGTGTAGCAGGGCAGGCACTATAGGGGTACAATTTAGGTGAAGGTTGGATGTTGTTTGTCTGTATCTGCATGCTACAGGGCCAGGAGAAACCAGCGGAACCAGCGATGAAGAACAGGTTCTGTTTTTAGAACCTGAACCTGGTTGTTGTTTTCCCAGGTTGGAAAAAAAGAACCAGAGGTTGTTTACCAACCTACCACCTGCTATTTTGTCCAGCCAGGTTGGTTCTGTTGCTTAGAATTATTTGGGATCATCCCTGGTTGTTCCCAGGTTGATTCCCAAAGTCCTTCTCTGTTTGTACCTGAATATAGTCATTTGATTCAAGCGAATTTCTTCATCGCTGGAGTTTCGTTTCTGCGCTATTCGACGGCGGAATGCTACCCGAGTCAACGCAAATATGCTAGCACTCCAACGCTGGGAAAAAGCTATCCGAGACATAACTTCATAATGGCAGAACTTTTCGCGAGGCAACTTGGCTTTTTTTTAAGCTCTTAAAGCCAGCTTCGATATAGCGAATTCTCAGCTTAATCCGATCGATGGTCTCCATGGCAAGCTACGCGACGTTCAAGGTACTCTTGTTATTTTGGCTAAGTCATTCTTGACTCCTCTCTCTACAAAATCGGACCCGAGGATAGGGGCTGGTCTTGTACCAGGCACCCAGGGACCCTTGGAGGTGACCCTGAGGAAAGGTTTTAAGTTTGATTAGCTTGAGTTTATTAGGCCCTTACACCAACAAGCTGGTACCAGAGCTGCGTTATAGCGATCCTCGTTATAGGTAGCTATGGCGGGCATCACCTCGGCGGTAGCTGGAGAATCTTCAGCCCGTCATCGTAGCAGCAGCCAAGATTCTGGTGTTTCGGCACCAAGGGGAGCGCGAACCAACAAGGGCTCGCTGATCAAGGACGTGCTGAAGAACTTCACCGTCGAAAAGTTCAATGGTGAGGGCTATGATCACTAGGCCTGGAAAATGCAGCTTTACTTCCGTCAGATTGGATTGCTGAAACTAATGATTGGGGAAGAGCCTAGACCGAGTGACCCCGCGCTGCAGGAAGATTGGGACGAGCGCGCCTCGGCTGGCTACTATTTGATGTCGCAGAGTTTGGAGCTGAACCAGCGTCACCACGTCATGCACCTGCTGCCGGAGGTTGATTGCGGTCCAAAGGCGTGGACCGTGCTGAAGGAGCTGCACGCTCCTACCTCCGTCACCGCAACGCTCATGATGGGGAGAGAGCTGTCTGCGTTGCGATTGAGCAAGGGAGAGCCGGTGCAACCAGTCCTGGACAAGATGCGCGACCTCTACGCGAAGTTGGCGACCACGGGAATCACCTACCCGGAGCAGACCAAGTGCTTGAAGATGCTCTCGCTGCTGCCGGAATCGTGGCTTCAATTCACGAGCGGATTGGGCCTGCTGCAGAACCAGAGCTCGTGGACGCTCGAGTGGGTGCGGACGAAGATTCTGGAGGAGGACTTCCGTCGCCGCCAACTGAGGGGTGGAGACGACAGCAGCAGCGGCTACGGGATGCAAGAGAGCCGACGTGGTAGAGGACGTGGCTTCGGTGGTGCTGGACGCGGTGCAAAGAAGGACGACGACTCCAACGACCAACAAGGAGGTATCGGTTGGGGTCGCGGTGCGAAATCTGGACGTGGGGGCAATTCGGGTGCTGGTGGAAAAATGAAGGGAATTGCTGGTATTGTGAGAAGGAAGGGCATCCCTGGTTTTTGTGCTATAAGAAACCCGATGGATGGACCCCCCAGAATCGTCACCAGGATGGCGGCGCGCGGAGGAACCAGAAAAACGGCGCAAGCATGGTCGCTGATTCGTCCGACAACAACCCGAAGAGCAACGGTGGTGCGGAGAAGAAGAAGGAGCGCACCGCGGGCCAGTTCTTCCATATTGGAGAGCAGGGGGAGCAAGGAGACGCCTCTGCCAAGGTTGGAGCAGAGCTGCACCTCCTGGACTATCGGGTGTTGGACACAGGCGTTGCTTGGACAATAATACCATGCAAGACCTGCTGGACGACGTACGCGCTGCACCGATCAATGAAGTGTGCTCTGCCTCTGGACACGCGCTGAAGTGGCTGGTGCGGGACGAGCTGCGTTTAAGGGAGCGGATGACAAGCCGGTGGTGCTGCACGACGTTCTCCTCGTCCCCGACCTCAAGGCCAACCTCATCTCCCTCCGTAAGCTTGCCAAGGCTGGGGTGAGCACTAGCACGGATGGGGCTCGCACGTACAAAGGGCAGCTGGGCAATCGGGTGCTTTGGGATCTGCACAAGAGCAGAACGTCGTGCAGCACCACCGGCTTGCCATCCGCTCCCTTAAACGCAGCTCGTCCCGCACCAGCCACCTTCAGCGCGTGTCCAGAGGCGGAGCACACCTCGTTAATCGGTGCAGCGCGTACGTCGTCCAGCAGGTCTTTGCGCGGCGTCATCGTCCAAGCAGCGCCCGTGTCCAACACCCAATAGTCCAGGGGGTGCAGCTCTGCTCCAACCTTGGCAGAGGCGTCTCCTTGCTCCCCCTGCTCTCCAATATGGAAGAACTGGCCCGCGGTGCGCTCCTTCTTCTTCTCCGCACCACCGTTGCTCTTCGGGTTGTTGTTGGACGAATCAGCGACCATGTTCGCGCCGTTTTTCTGGTTCCTTCGCGCGCCGCCATCCTGTTGACGATTCTGGGGGGTCCATCCATCGGGTTTCTTATAGCACAAAAACCAGGGGTGCCCCTCCTTCTCACAATACCAGCAACTCCCTTTCATTTTGCCACCAGCACCCGACTTGCCCCCACGTCCAGATTTCGCACCGCGACCCCAACCGATACCTCCTTGTTGGTCGTTGGAGTCGTCGTCCTTCTTTGCACCGCGCCCAGCACCACCGAAGCCACGTCCTCTGCCACGTCGGTTCCCTTGCATCCCGTAGCCGCTGCTGCCGTCATCTCCACCCCTCAGTTGGCGGCGACGGAAGTCCTCCTCCAGAATCTTCGTCCGCACCCACTCGAGCGTCCACGAGCTCTGGTTCTGCGGCAGGCTCAATCCGCTCGTGAATTGAAGCCACGATTCCGGCAGCAGCGAGAGCATCTTCAGGCACTTGGTCTGCTCCAGGTAGGTGATTCCCGCGGTCGCCAATTTCGCGTAGAGGTCGCGCATCTTGTCCAGAACTGGTTGCACCGGCTCTCCCTCGCTCAATCGCAACGCGGACAGCTCCCTCTCCATCATGAGCGTCGCGGCGACGGAGGTAGGAGCGTGCAGCTCCTTCAGCACGGTCCACGCCTTTGGACCGCAATCAACCTCCGGCAGCAGGTCTATGACGTGATGACGCTGGTTCAGCTCCAAACTCTGCGACATCAAGTAGTAGCCAGCCGATGCGCGCTCGTCCCAATCTTCCTGCAGCGCGGGGTCACTCGGTCTAGGCTCTTCCCCAATCATTAGTTTCAGCAATCCAATCTGACGGAAGTAAAGCTGCATTTTCCAGGCCCAATCATCATAGCCCTCACCATTGAACTTCTCGACGGTGAAATTCTTCAGCACCTCCTTGATCAGCGAGCTCTGGTTGGTTCGCGCTCCCCTTGGCGCCGAAACACCAGAATCTTGGCTACCGCTACGATCTTGGGCTGAAGATTCACCAGCTCCCGTCGAGGTGTTGCCCGCCATAGCTACCTATAACGAGGATCACTATAACACAGCTCTGATACCAGCTTGTCGGTGTAAGGGCCTAATAAACTCCTGCTATTAAGACTTAATCAAACTTAAAACTCTCCTCGGGGTCACCTCCAAGGGTCCCTGGGTGCCTGGTACAAGACCAGCCCCTATCCTCGGGTCCGAGTTTGTAGAGAGAGGAGTTAAGAATGACTTAGCCAAAATAACGAGAGTACCTTGAACGTTGCGCAGCGTGCCATGCAGATCATCAATCGGATAAAGCTGAGAATGTGCTATATCGAAGCTTGCTCCAAGAGCTTTAAAATAAGCCAAGTTGCCTCGCGAAAAGTTCTGCCATTACTAAGTTCTGGCTCGGACAGCGTTTGCCTAGCGTTGGAGTGCTAGCATGCTAGCGTTGACTCGGGTAGCATTCCGCCATCGAATAGCGCAGAAACGAAACTCCAGCGAGGAAGGAATTCGCTTGAATCAATTGACTATATTCAGGTACAAACAGAGAAGGAATATATAGTTCTAGCTAGCAAGGACCTTGGGAATCAACCTGGGAACAACCAGGGATGATCCAAAATAATTCCAAGCAACAGAACCAACCTGGCTTGACAAAATAGCAGGTGGTAGGTTGGTAAACAACCTCTGGTTCTGTTTTTCCAACCTGGGAAAACAACAACCAGGTTCAGGTTCTAAAATCAGAACCTGTTTTGTCTTTGCCCAACCAGCCAAATGCTGGTTCCGCTGGTTTCCCCTGGCCCTGTAGCATGCAGATACAGACAAACAACATCCAACCTTCACCCAAATTGTACCCCTATAGTGCCTGCCCTGCTACACTATAGACAACCAAACAAAACAATACAATTTCGAGTTGGATAGAACTGGATCTGCGCAATCAATTTAACCGAACCGCAAAGCTTCCATCTTGGGTTCCTTTGCGAGCTCGTCCTTTCTGCTTGCACTATTCATAGCGCGTACAATGTTGTGCCGAAGCGCACATTACGCGAGTACCTGCAAATGCATCAAGCGAAAATTGCGAAAGCAAACAAACACACGAACATTCCATTCACACCCAAATGCATTCGCACACGCATACTCATACAAATAGATGGCAAAATGTCGTGCAATGTGCATTTGCACCCAACAGAGTTCCTTGGAGCTGAGATGACGGCCTGGCTCAAGAAGTAGGGCATCCAGAGGGACCGCTTACACCCCACAGTCCAATGGTGTAACAGAACAGGCGAACCGGACAATTTTAGAGATAGCTTGGGCACTGCTTATACAATCTGGGCTGAGCAATTCCATGTGGCCTCATGCTGTCCGGCACGCTACCGTCGCTAGGAACAGGGTGCTCACCAAGGTTGGGGATGACTCGTGGGTGCCTTTGGAGAGGTGGCTTGGGAGGAAGCCGCCGGTGGACATGCTGAGGGTGTTTGGTTGCATGGCAGTCGCCCACGTCCCCAAGACCTACCGTAGTAAGTTGGGGGCGAGTGCAATCTGGTGTGTACATTTGGGGCTGGCTGCTGAGAGCAAGGGATGGCTGCTGTGGGAACCATCCAAGGGTGTGTTGTCTGACAGGAGGGATGTGAAGTTTGTTGAGGGCATGATGTATGGGAGCTGGGAGAAACAGCCGGAGGCCCGGGTGTCCCAGCAGATGGAGCAGATCACCATGCAGCTGGACCTGACTCCTAGTGTGTGGGAGGAGGAAGAGGAGGCAGCTGCAGATGGTGGTGATGGAGAGAAGGTGCAGGAGGCACCTGCTGGTGGAGGAGATGATGTGGAGACTAGTGGTAGCACCAGGGGAGCTGCTGGATCTGAGGGAGGAGAACAGCAGCAGGGCAAAGACAAGGTGCCTAAGCTACCACAAAAAAGGTAGCTGAAGGGTGTCGTTATGAAGGGATGGGAGACACCCGTTTCTAGGCCAGGACGCACCCGCGTGGCAACAATGAAGCTAAATGCATAAGCTATAGCAGAGGAACGGCTTGGGAATGAGGAGGCATTGCTGATTCTACCTCATGGCTATGACCCGGATGAGGAGGATGAACCAACCTACTGTTTTCTTGCCCCTGCACCTGAGGAACCAGCTAGCATGGAGGAGGCACTAGCTGGACCAGATAGGGACAAGTGGCTGGCTTCTAGAGATGCTGAGTACCAAAGCCTGCTAGAGAATGGGACATGGGATCTGGTGGTGCTGCCTGATGGGAAAAAAGCGATACAATGCAAGTGGGTGTTGAGGATCAAGACCGATGACAAGGGGCAGGTCACCATCTACAAGAGTAGGCTGGTGGCTAAGGGGTTTATGCAGAAGTAGAAGCAGTTCTTCAACGAGATCTTTGCTCCCACTGCCAAACCCCCTACCCTTCGTGTCTTGTTGGCAGATGCAGGCGTTGGTGGGAAATTCATTATTCAGATGGACATATTAACGGCATTTCTCAACGGGATTTTAGATGAAGAAGTGTTCATGATGCAGCCGCCTGGGTATGAGGATGCTACGGGAAAGGTGTGCAAGCTGAAAAAGTCCATCTACGGCTTGAAGCAGGCGCCACGCTGCTGGTACCAGAAGTTGGCAGATGTTTTAGAGGAGATGGGTTTCAGGACCAGCAGCTGTGATGAGAGCCTCTTTCTCAAGGGCGAGGGGGAGGAGCTGAAGTTGTTTCTGGTCTACGTGGACGATATTCTTCTCTTCAGCAGCAGCATGAAGAAGATCCAGAAAGTGCAGCAGCAGCTGATGGAAAACTTCAAATGCAAGAACCTTGGGGAGGTAAAGTACTACCTCGGGATGCACGTAGAGAGGGATCCTGATCACAGATGGTTGAAGCTGCACCAGGAGAAGCTCATCAAGGAGCCGGGGGATAAGTATGTGTTGGGTGCAAATTTACATTGCACGACATCCTGCCGTCTGTTTGTACGAGTATGTGTGTGCGAATGCATTTGCGTGTGAATGGTGTGTTCGTGTGTTTGTTTGCTTTCGCAATTTTCGCTTGAAGCATTTGCAGGTACTCGCGCAATGCGCGCTTCGGCACAACATTGTACGCGCTATGAACAGTGCAAGCAGAAAGGACGAGCTCGCAAAGGAACCCAAGATGGAAGCTTTGCAGTTCGGTTGAGTTGATTCAGTTCTATCCAACTCGAAATTGTATTGTTTTGTTTGGTTAACTATAGTGTAGCAGGGAAGGCACTATAGGGGTACAATTTAGGTGAAGGTTGGATGTTGTTTGTCTGTATCTGCATGCTACAAGGCCAGGGGAAACCAGCGGAACCAGCATTTGGCTGGTTGGGCAAAGACAAAACAGGTTCTGTTATTAGAACCTGAACCTGGTTGTTGTTTTTCCAGGTTGGAAAAACAGAACCAGAGGTTATTTACCAACCTACCACCTGCTATTTTGTCCAGCCAGGTTGGTTCTGTTGCTTGGAATTATATGGGATCATCCCTGGTTGTT